TGGGTGACTGCGGACCAGGGTTTGGATCTGGACCAACGATTGGGTGCACCGGGCAGCTGCGTTCATTTGCATGCACATGCTGTTAGACACGAGAACTAGGCGAAGGTAGCTAGGCTGTCAAACTCCCTCTATCTTTTGCGCTGTGATACTGAAGTGCGTCAAAGTGCTGCCGATCAGACATTTACAAAGAGGTGATGCGACAGACCGCTGGCTAAGGATGCTCTCAAGAAGAAACAGACGGAGCCTTATTCTTCATTAAGGCCCTGGATATCATCTAAGCAATTACAACCAGCTGGGAGCTAGTAACACTTAAAAAATCTAGAGAGAGCTTTAATTGGTGGAATACTGGAGTTTTTAAGAACGTCGCGTACGTAAACGGAGGCTCTCATCACTCGGTTGTTCTCACTATTGCGGGCGACGTATTCACGTTTGGCTGCGCTGACTCGAGTCGGCTCGGTATGCTCGAAACTTGCAGCACCGGCGATTTCAAGGACCGTCCACAGAAGGTGACAATTTCAAACCCAAGGACAGTGGTTCACGTCAGGTTTGCAGGATCTCCTCGGGATCTAACCTCGTTCTGGTATTAACTGAGAGCAACGCAATCTTTTCTTGGGGACACAACGACGTGCTGGCACTAGGAAACAGAGTCCAACGATGAAAACGAACCGTACCAAGTGGACTGGTCGGAGGCCACAAATGGTAAAGACATGAAAGGCAAGAAGATGGTGTCTGGCAAGGCAGTACTTCTTCGTGTCGAAGGTCAACGTGTTGGCAAGACCCACTGACGAGTAGGCCTTATAATCCACCGCCTGTTGTTATACGCGCGTAGTTGTCTTGAATAACCTAGCAGTAACAAAAAACCTTTTAGGCTATAATGACAGACATTGCAGTATCAATGCAACGATTTTGTTTTTAATCCCTTACTGGTAGCAATTTAAATAGTGTTTCATCTCTGACTTTGAGCCTCGAGCTTGTCGAATGATCTTAAAGTGAAGGGATGACATGAGCCCTTGGAGAAAGCAAAATATCACGTATACTTTGACTTAAGCAGATAGCATTTCAGGTTAACACTGTGTTTGAGGGAGCACATCAAATCACTCTAAACAGTACGCATTAGGCTTGTCATCCGTCTATAGAAAAAATAACATTACAGTCGTGCCTATCTGTCCACGAAAATAAGCTGACTAAAAACGAATTGATAACTCAAAGGTACTAGTGCAGCCGTTTTTTTTTCTCTCAGTGCATTGGAGTGCAATTAAAGTGACTATGAAGCATTGCGGCGTCCATCTTTTCGTCATTTCTTCGGCTTATTTTTGACGTTTCTGCGGTTTATCTTGGTCAAGTGTCGACGAGCGTCAATACCTTTGTGCTGTCAACTTCGTCGAAAACGGCAGTCAAACGCATATAACTTAAAAATTGGCAAATAGAAAAATTACGGTAGGAGCCCCTAATCAGTATTCAATGTTGACAAACTAAAATCAATCTCACTAATCATTTACCGTAGACCATAGGTATTCCTTCAGCAGCAGCGTTTAACAGCGTTGCTACAGTTAATCTCCATACGAGACACCAGAACCGATGTCATACACTTCATTTCCGCCTTAGCAGCCCTCTCCAGAACGCGCATTTGCCTTCCAGCGAGCGTTATCACGTCTCCATTCTCGTCCAGTTGACGGCTGCGATTGCATATTTCCTTGCGGTAGATTGCTTAGTTCCTTTTGATGTTTGCCTTTAACACACTGAAACAACCCTTTATCTGGCTGCACAGGGGGAATACGGTCCGAGTCGTAACAGCTCCATGTCTTCGTGCTCGATAACGCGATCTTCCGTCTGTCGGTGGGCAGGCGCATTATCAAGAACGATTACAATCTTTTTGCCGTGGAAGAAATTGCGGAGCTCTTGCGACGCCTTGACTGCCTTGTAAACCTCTTCGACGAAGGCAACATTCTTCTCCAAACGAATGCTGCCATGTTCCAATTGGTACGTCACCAGCCTAATGTTTGACGAAACAGCACATTGGATCTGGAGGTTGGCCCTTTGGAGGGTGGAAGGCTGAGCACGGCCCTCTCATCTCGCCTAGATCGTCCCCGCAAGCGCTTTAAATATATGGTGTAGTTAGTTTCATCATTTTAAATGATGCAGCTACCTGCGTCTTGATGCTCCTTTAATTTCACGGCGAACACACGTCGTTTCTCGATGTTGCTATTGCTATTACACGTTGTAGGCTCGACTCTCACTTGTTTTACGGTAAACAGCATGCCCTTCAGGTGTCGGCTAATCGTAGACGTGTCCACCTTAACGCCACAGTCCAGAAACAACATTGTCCTCATGGTGTCCAACGTGTAGATACAATTATCATTCAGGTACTCCTCCAGGAGGACCTTAGCTTCAGACGTCATCTTCACGTGCTTCGCGCCTCCCCGACGGAGATGTCCACGCGCCCACGCCATACTATGTCGTAGGCAGTAGTCACATGAATCCTGTTGAAACGGGAAACGGCTAGCCAGTCTTCTCGACCGGCACGATGGGGTTCAAGGACTCAATGTTTCTCGATGAGGGTGTGCAGCGCGATTCGGGAAGGCATCTTGGTGACAAAGTTAGCAAATGAACCAGATCTCCTTTCGTTCTGAGCGACTTGTATAAACCTCAGGCTTTGGCGCAAGTCGAGCAGAGCCTGTCGTTTTGGCGCGAATCAGTCGCGCAAATCTTGTACGAGGTTGATTGCAGTTTTTTTACATCGAATCTGATTAGGGGCTCCTACCGTAAATTTCCTATTTGCCAATTTTTAAGTTACGAGTTTGACTGCCGTTTTCTACGAAGTTGAGAGCACAAAGGTAAACAACCGACCTGTAGCGATGGCTTCTCTTCCATTTCAATGTCACTGCCACTTGACCCATCTAGCGTTTCGTGAAGAAGTGACAGCCGCGCCACATGTAGAGAGGATTTGGCTAGCACAACTTTAGATAAGCGAGGCTTATATGGGCTGTTCAGTTCCACATCCGCTCTGTAGGCCATATCGCCGTGAACTAGCGCAATATGATCCCACAATGGTGAGGCAATATTCGCCAATTCGTTCACCACAGCCGTGAGCGTTGGGAGCATGGGTAGTATGGCTTCATCATGTTCCTCCGATAGCCGCAACGAACATAGGCATAGCGTAAAAGCGTATACCCTCTTCGATACCACTTTTTCGTCATCGGTAGTTTTGCCAGTTTATGTTTCCCTTTCTGACCGGACTCAGCTTGCGATTTTGAGATAGATGAAACTCGACGTGATTTCGGGACACTGACAGTCTGTTCTCCAACATTTGCTGCTAGCTTAACCTCCAGGCTCTCATACTGAACAAATTGGTTCTCGATTTCTCGCAGACTCATGTTAAAGCGGATCACGTCACACGGCTGCTTTTCGCTCAATGGCATATAAACGGTTGCAGAATTCGGAAACCCACTCTTCACTCGGACCAAAATCATCGACACCTCACGCTTCCCACGATGAGAAATCGAGATCAGTAAATCTGCTCCACTTTGGTTTTGTGGGAAAATCCCAGCCCCAACGCAAATCCTCGGTCGGTTTGGAAAACAGCTATGCAAAATGACAGAACCCCACTTGCCAGTCGTCCCACTTGGATTGCCAACATAAAGAGCTTCACGCTAACGAACTTCCCCATAAATTGACAATCAGAGTAGGTTTCCACCTCGGGCTCTGCTTCCACCACACACGAGTCCACCGTGATAAGCAGCACAATGCGAGCAATGACTTCGTCAACGTCTGTTCCGTCCAGCGTCTCATTTAACAGTAGCTTCTTCGGCTGCGGTAAAATAGAGGTTAACAACGTAGACATGCAATCGTACCACACCATAGTCGCGCGCCAGTACCGGGTCCGACGTGTAACTAGCCACATGTCCGCCATTTTCAAAATTCACGTAGGCCAGAACTGCCATAAAATCGGCAGCCACGCGAAGCGCCAGTGAAAAGTTTGAATAGGGCCGCAGCCCAAGCCGGTACAACATCGAAACTACTCCAAACATGGTCATTTCACTGTAGCTTTCCAGGTTACGCGAGTTCTTCCCTGACACCATCTTCCTAGCTGCAAAATTTAGCACGCTTCCTGTTGCTTTTGCTTCGTTGTCGTACTTTAGCATCGGCGCCGCAAACGTACTCTTCCAGAGTAGACGACCCATCGAAATAAGCTTCTCCCACGACTCTTTCTTGTCGCTAACGCACACCGCGCGGCGATTGCGCTCCCACACAGAACATGTTTCCGGAGAATGTCCATGGGTACAGTAAGCTAGGCAGCTGGGACGGCGTTGGTGCAGAATGGACGGAGCTGTTTTCGAACCCAACCACTGATGTGGGTGTTCGGGACGCCTTACGAATAGCTGATTACGAGCGGAAATGTTCCACCCCGATGGAGACCTCGGACGACACAAGATTGGTAGTTTTGGCAATCGATGAGGTCAGGTCACTGCTAAGGAAGACTTCAGCTGGGACAAACCAGCTCTGGATGCTGCGCTACGCACTCAAGAGAGAAAACGAAAACATCCAACAGTACAACCCGAAAGCGGGCATTTTTTGCTGTCGTGGTAGACACAAACCCCACGGTTTCAGATGTCACACGTTCGTTATCAGCTGAGTCATCGTCTCGAATGGACAACACCGATTGGCATATACTATTTCCACCATTTCTGCTGGTACACACTTCGACGGGGTGTTACCTTGACTGTGCATATTTAGCCTCATTGTGGATTTCGCGATGGTACACTTCATTTAAGTGCGAATCCAACTTTCAATTATTGTCGCTTTTTTATGGAAAGGCTACTATGAATCAATTTTTTATTTTGATAATGTCATAAAAAGAGATGTGGGCGACCCCATCTAAAGAGCTCAATCAAAGAGATAAAGAAGAGCAAGATCCAATGTGACGACGATGATCTAAAACTTTATTTGTTAGGTTACGTTTATCCTCAAAGAGCGAGGAAAACGATATCTCATTCCAAAAGATGGTGAAGCTGTTTTGCGGAGTTGTTGGTGAGGCGAAAACGCCGTTCCCTATCGATATCGACGCGGAACAAACGGTGGGCGACTTAAAGAATGCTGTCGCGGCAGCTCTTCGGCACGAGAAAGGAGTAAATTTGCTAGAGATTTATTTGGCAAAGACTGAAAGCACCGGTTGGCTGTCAAAAGAAGACGTGAAGAAGGGGGTTGGTGACGTTACCGGACTGGAGGAGCTCGCAGCGATGACAGCGAGTCTTAACTGTGCGGGTTTGTCGGACCACGATGTCAGCGGATTTGACGGAGGAGATGAAGATGAGGGCAAGGGCGCTGTGCACGTACTGGTGAAAAAGCCGTTCATGCCAAATAAGCGGCGTCGAGTAGTACCGCAGCTAAATATTCCTCGGGTTGATTTGGGAGACAGCAACTACGTTCACCTACCTGCAGAGCTGATCTACTGGTGTGGTTTGCTATCGCGGGGCGACTTGAAATTGTACTGTCGTCCACAAGTGCGCCAACTTTGGGAGTTTTTGAGCCAAGACGTCATTGTCGAAAATGCAAAAGGACATATCGTGGGGCCATCTGGTACCGGGAAGTCTGTTTGCACGTTGGCTTTTACGGCTTCTTTAGATCACAAGGAATGGGATATCGTCTGGATACATGTAAGCCGTAACTTCCCCGTCACTGTTCTGTCTTCTGGCAGGAAGGAGTATTGGATTTTGAAATCGTCGACATTTGAGCTGCCTCGTGTGAACCAGAGAAAGGTCTTCGTCGTGCTGGATGGAATTGCTGAAGGGGATCATCACCGAAAGGTTGCTATTGATATATTGGCCGATCTACGCGATGATGACAGATTCGTTGTGTGCTCGTCTATGGCCACGTTTTGGAAGAGGAACCTGGAGGAAGACATTCGAGAAAACATTAAATGGTATTTTATGTATTCGTGGACAAAAGACGAGTATCTCGCAGCAGTTCGCGACGAAGGTTTTTATAACACTGTCAGCGATAAGCTTGATGCAAGTAGTCTCCTCGAGGTGAATGACGAAAGCAATGAGAGTGGAGAATGTGAGGTCACAAAGCTCGTGAATCGAAAGTTTTATTTTGCTGGTGGCTCGTGTCGGTTCATGTTTCAGTACACGACGGAAGAAGTAAAGAAGGCCTTGAAACACTTGATCGATTGCGTTCCCGACAAAACTCAATTAGTCAGATGTTGCTTCGGTGGCTTCAACAATAGTACGATGAACAAACTCTATGGAATGGTCTGTTGCGACACAGATGACGAAGGTTACGGTGAACGTGTCCCTTTGAGTCCGTATGCAGCTTCGCTTTTCGCGAAAGAAAGTGGCCCAAGTCATTGGAAATAATTATTGCGAATGGAGCCAGCTAAGGTGACCCGCACAGAGCTCTGAAGTGGTGAAAGCGCCACTAAGTCCCAACTCAAAGCAGAGTTGCGACCTGTGGATTATAATAGTATCACGGAGGCACGATGCCGTGTACTTTCGACTCGAAAAAAGGTACTTCGCAAGAAGCACTTGCAAAAGCTTATGTTAAAAATCATTCATTACAAATACGTATATCTTTTCCGGCTTAACCACGAATTAAATATTCATATCAAATATAGTCACATCAAACTCAGTCCCAATCGTGCTCAGGTAGACGGTACTTGCGAATTATAAAATTTCGAGCCATTAAATTCACGTATCAGGATCAGGATCAACCCACTGGTACAATGATTTAGGATCGTTAATACCTCACTGGACAGGGATAGCGCTACTGTATCTGATGCTTATTCGTATTATATAGCACACATGGGTCCCATAAAATTCTGCATGTAAAGCGAATGCTGGCTGTGTTCACCTACTGTAAATATTGTTTTACCGTTAGCCAGGATGTTTAAACTACTGTGGGCTGCTGTCCGAGAGCAGATTATCGCAGATCTATGTGATGTTCAAGCTTCGGGCATTATGGCAGGTCAGTTTAAGCAGAGGACAATTATAGTGAAGCTGGTATTAAATACACGGATATAAGGCACTTCTGAGTATTTCTTGTGAGTTATGTAAGCGAAGTCCCATCGCTATTAGTACTAATAGCACTAATATTAACGATAAATTGAACACTCTTATAATCAAAGGGAAATATCGCCATAGCAGCACTATATCTTGGGTTTTGTATGAAAAAAATGCCTTTTTGCGCTTAAAATGTAGTCGAAATGTACATCAGTAAGCTTGGCATTTTTTAGCAGCCGGTAGCTTATCAGGGTGAAAACGAATGATCGGCTCAATTGGCATGACAGTGTAGCTACTAAATCTGTCTAATGGGAGCACAATTAGTCATCAGGGCCCCCAAAACAAGTTTACTCGTCAAGGCCAATCTGCTTGTGGAGTTGCAATTTCTCAGGAATCTGGAGACGCCCATTATTTAACCTACGGTATTTTCTCGAGTTAATTTTCAGACTACAGGAAGCTGGATCAGGGGTTCGGAATAGACTATTTGGTCTAAATTATTGATAGTAATCGATGTAGATTTTGATTTTTGTATCCGAAAATAATAATCCACTCTGATGTTTCATTAATACTCATACTGATTCCCAGATGCTAGCAGCTTAAAAATACTTGATAGTAGTGCTACTACTGTACATTTAAAAAAATATTGTAATACAGTATACTGCGTACCTTGAATGGGGTTACATATTGAAAAATACGGAGCCAGCCGTACAAGTACCAAGTCGGCTCGTTCAGCGACGTGTGCTTCCGTTTGCTTCCACAAATCGACGTGATGTGGTGGCGGGGATTCCGTTGTGGGCGGCCACAAGCGTCCAGTCACCACCGACACGGAGGCAGTCGAGGACACGAGCTCTGGCAAATGCGAGGTGCGGGGCTCTGGGCATCTTGGGGTAGGTAGAGGCTTGGCTTGGTTGAGGGCTTGGGAAAAGATTGATTCAGCCGCTTTGAACTGCGAATAAACCACTTTGAAGTACGGAGTGCGTTTACTCGACATATTTGTGAAGTGACATAAACTCTAATGTAAAAATTGAGAATAATTTTTAAAAAGTTTTAGTTACTTCACCACTTTGAAGTGGAGTAGCACCATCTTGACCTGGCAAAGGTGTAGTACAATATGAAATACTATCATCAGGTGTGCTAAGAACGACATCAGCAAGTCGCGCTGTGGCTTTACCAGAAATGCTACGTACCGTATATACATAGGTAGCAAAGTTGCTCTGTCTGCAGATCTCGTCTTAATCGAAGATTAGGCATGTAATTCTAAGTGTGCGACTGGGGATCTCATCTCAAATAGCTTCTCAGTAATCCGTGGTCAAGCAGGTATGATTGAATCCTAGCTACTTGCTGTCCAGGAAAAATGTTTGGATTCTTTACAATAAGTACTATTTCTTTTGCCTTCAGCCAAACTACTTACAGTACCAATTTCAAAGTTATACTTCAAAATTTCCGGATGACTCGTAGTGGAGAATGTTGATCCAATGTTGCCCCAGTTCTGATGACATTCGATGAATCAAGTTGGATCTTGAGACGTCACGATCATGACAAGAGAGGCCCCCATTGCGTGGGAATCGCTGGCAGTATGGGGATCAGCAGCAACTTTCTCCTCCACGGAAGACGATGACCCGCTTGCCTTGACTGAAAATGTGCCCTTCCCCGTCCGCGCGTCTATTAACGCCAAGCTTTCACTCTGGCGCGGGCCGCTCTACTGCCTGCGCGTCGACGCCGTGGTCAACTCGACGTGTGAGTCCATGCGCCAGAGTGACGGGGACTTTGACAAGTTGCTCAAGTCTGCGGGACCCGAGATCGCCGTCGAATGCAAGGCCGCTGGCGCCTGTCGCACAGGAGACACTGTACTCACGCGAGGTTGTAAGCTGCCCGCAAAGTTCATACTTCATACAGTGGGGCCACGGTACCAGGCTAAGTATCATAACGCGGCGGAGCATTCGCTACATTCATGTTACCGTAGCGTCTTAGCAGTCACCAAAGAAAATGGACTACGCTCAGTAGCCACAGGATGTATCTACACAATACGTAAAGGATATCCGAGAGAGGAAGGCGCTCACATTGCGGCAAGAACGGTGCGACGCTATCTGGAACACTACGGGGATGACTTCGACCGGGTTATTCTATGTATGGACTCGGTGCAAGACATGGATGTGTATGAGAGGGTCTTACCCCTTTACTTTCCTCGAACCGTGAAGGAGCAACACGAGTCCCAGCGGTTGCTTGCCACGCGCGACCTCGGTGCGTTTCTACATGTATCTGATGCTAAACTGGCAATCGTCATTTCTAAACAGAACACTCATTTCTAAACGTAGGTGATAGCTTTGGCGAACCCATAATTGCAGAGCGTCAGATTCGAATTGGTAACCTCAGTAGCTCGTCAATTGCTGCTGAACAGCACAGTAACCAGCACGAATTTGAAAGATATATCAACAAGAGCCTGCTAAGTAAATGCCCACTGTCCGATGGGTTCGCCGTGGATCCTGAAAACGACAGCGATATTGAAGCATTTCGGGCCATGTACGGTGATCCAGATGCGGAGCGCTTAGACCGACTGCAGCAGATGCAGGCGGAACGCCAGCGACGAGCTGCCGAGGCTGCAATTGAGGAGCAGAAACGACTCGAGAAAGCTACAGCCAGCACTGCTGAATGGGACTATGTCGCTGCACTTGAACGCGCTAAATCGGAGGATTTGTCAGACCTGAAGGCTCTCGGATTCTGTTACTGCGGTGGCGTGGATCTTGCGGGGATGCCTGTAGTTGTCTATCTTGCTGGAAAGTTGCGCGTGGATGAACTGGATATGGAGCGTATCCTTCTGTTTGTGCTATTGACTCTTGATCTGCAACGCGCTGCTCTCACGACAACCAGCTCGCAGTTTAGCGTGCTGTACGTGCAGTCAGATGTGACGAACGATAACCAGCCCTCCGCTGCTTGGCTCAAGCGACTCTTTCGCGTGTTCACTGCGGTGGCTGCACGTCGCGCTCCAAGCGACCAACCACTGCATAATAAATGGACCAGGTCGGCGCTTCGCTTTTTCTACGTGTTGGAACCATCCTTCGGGTTGAAGGTGCAGCTACTTTTGTCAAAGGGATACTGCGATGGTGGCGGGTTTTACGACCAGATCGTGTATTTGCAGAAAGCCGAGATGCTGGATAGCATTGCACCAACTCTTCAACTACCACCGCATATCTACACGTCCGTGTGAGTATTTGGATGTTTATTCGGTTTGAAATACCAATATGCAACTTGCACCGGTCAAAGTGTAGATTTTGGTGACAGTAAATAAACTGCCTCCGTTGCGTTCCATTGACAGGACAAGTCAGTCCACCGCACTAATTGGCGCGGTAAAACGAGGAGAGCGGAAGCAATAGAAAAGTTTACCGGCACAGAAGTCCCCCTAAATAGTCGTTACTTACACCTCATATGCCTCTTAATATCTTCTGTAGTACAGAATCTGTACTATAAAGAAATCTTTAACGTAGTATACTACAGTACGAAGTACTACATTGTACAAGTACAAATTATTTGTTTAGTTGTCTATTCTTTTAGTTTTGTAGTCTAGTAATCTTGTACTACGTAGTACAGTGTACTTGTAAAATCTTGTGTAGTCTGTACGTAGTACCGCTATTTCATGAACATGGCAAAATTTGTGAGTAGCTCACTTCATACGACATTCGGAAGAATGAAGTTCCTGCTCCAGTTCCCGCAGGAACAGAGCGAGATAGTCCTGATCTACCCGTCGCATCGTGAGCTTCTGCTGCAGCGACACGTATCCAGCGAGCTTAAGCAGCTTGATAATACTGGGTGTGGCTTTGAGCATCTTGGAGTAGCGAATGTCGTCGTGCTGCAGTGTACGGAACTTGGAGCGCACGCCCTCACGGTGCAGAGATCGCAGTACCTTGAAGATGGATGTGAGTTTGCGTGCTCGTTCCGTGTCAGATGGACACTCGCAGCGGCAGCTGGCGAAGCAGGCGCGGATTTCTCGTACGGCTTCGTCTACTTGATGTGCCGTCGGGACGCGGTCAGGAGCGTCGTCGCTCCACGAAGGCTTCTCGTAGTCGTAAACTGGCTCGCCAGATGACGCGCCTCCCATTTGTTTTGACTGGAACGGGAGTGAGGAGCTGCGAGGACGCACGAGTCCTGCCATGAGTTCGCGCAGCTCGTCACGTTCATCCCTGCCGACTGCAGGAGCAGGAGGCAGCGGCGATGATGGCGAATCCGCTGGGTTACTGGGAGATGACGTCCCACCTTCTGCCTTCCTCTTCTTGAGTAAAGCGCTCAGATCTTCCTCCACAAAGAACGCATCGGAGCCCTGGTATTTCTTGAATTGGGGCTCACGTAGTCCATCGCTGCTGAGTAGTGACAAGCCGTCGGATGAGTCATCGTAGCTTTCTTCATCCGAGGACGATGAAGCGTAGTCATCATCACCGTTTCTGGTGTCACCAGTTGTGCCCAAAGCTTGTAAGTAGGAGCCTTCCGTGAGGGCTGCAGAAGGTCGATTGGCACCAGGAGCTTGGCTCTTTGTAGTGCTGCCGTTACTGCCATTAAGACCGCCATAAGCTTTGGGCTTAGCTGGTAGTGAATGACGAGCTTTGTGAGGCGATTCCGGTAGTGGTGGGGGTGGAGGGGGGCTGATCGGGGTCTTGGTCACTGCAGGAGGCAGTGGAGGCGTTGATGACCTGGATAGAGACTTCTTTGAGCCTCCACTAGCCCGTACCGGAGTCTCACTAGAAGCCATGACACCACGGAGTTCAGAAACCAAGTCTTCTGTCGTTAATCCTCTCGATCCCATTGCGTCAGAAGGTAGCGACATAGCTCTTGGTCCGGAAGAGACAGAAGAGGATGTATCACCGAGTATTGGACTGCTATCTACGCCACGCTCGCCGAAGATCTCAAAGACGCTCTCAATTTCCATCTGAGCTGAGCGATCACGCACAGCGTCTAGCCGTTGACGAGTTCGTGCTTCCGGTTCCGGCTCGTCGCTGTCGATAACTGACAACTTCCGCTGTGCGTCGTCCAGACTGCGCTGTAAATCGCGGATCTTCTTCTCCAGGTCGTGGATTTCGGTTGCGCGACGCACAGAGTCTGCAAAATTGTATGACGAGTGTCTGTCATCGTCGTCCTCATCGTCGTGCTGGGGCTGGTATGTAGCCATGATTTTCTCATAGTTGGACGCAGAGTATGGGTCTGGGTCATGGGCCGAGCTGTCGTCACTATCATACATGGTCGGATAACTCGCAACTGACGCCGAACTCACAGACGCCGCATCATCATGCTGTTCGTGGTTATCGTCAGTACTTACAGCAACGTGAGACTGCTGTTGCTGGCGTTCTCCAAAGGACAAGAAAGCCTGGCCAGCTTGTCTTGTCGCTCTGGCTGCAGCAAACGTGATACGAGCCACCGAATTAAACTGATCGGGTGTCATTTCGTCGTCGCGTTCGTTGCCGCCATCACGGAACGAGTCTTGACTGCGGTCACTTGGTCCAGAGTAATACATCGCAGGCGCTGCATTAGTAGCATTGGCCAACGCAGCGTCAAAGTTGGAGACGGAGCTCTCCAGAGCTTCACGAATACTCGTGATCTCGCTGTACATGTCATTGTACTCTTGTGTTTCATCACTGCGTTCGTCCTGTCGTTCTGCATACGCTGCTTCAGACATCGTAAGGTTAATAGTGTCTCGAACTTCGCGGATATGCGTCACAACATCTGTAAGAGCTTGCAGTTTATCCTGGGCACGTAACTGCGGACTGACGTCAATTTTACAGGGAGGGTTAGCAGGCTTCAGCTCGGTATCGGACGCTTCCAGCACTTCTCTGGCCAAGTCACTCTGTCGACGGTCTCGATCTCGAGATTCACGCATGTGGAAGATCATATCCTCGTACGAGTTGTGCTGTGGACTACGCAGACCTCGGATGTACGACTCCGTGTCGTTTGAAGTAGACGACGCAGGCTCATCTCCTGTCCCTGTAGCACTCACCGCCGAGAGCTGTTGTTGTCGTGCTCCAGCGCTTGTCATACAAGCAGAACATACACGTAAGTGGGTTATATCAAAAATGGGCTCCTCCAATTCTCGTAACAAAGCACACGACGAGCACACCACTTCGCCACAAGTTCTGCAGTGATGTTTGCGACGGAAATAAAAGCCTCGTAAGCAGACAGCACACGCCTTACGGTCTGAATTGGGTACCCATTGCCATTGCTCCACAAATCGAAGACTGCTCACTCTCTGCCGTGCCACAAGCCCCGGGATCTTGGCTACAGCGCACACTGTCTTCTTCATAAGCTCCTCTAGAACCCCACGTACGATCGGATTTAGATCTCCGTCGATCTGGCAGATCGAAGTCACCTTAAACGTGTTCGGCTGGTGTGTTTTCGACACGATGATACCCATTCTGGACAGATAACCTCTCGCGATGCCGAAATTCTCTAAAGTTGGTACTTCTCGATCTCTGGAAATCGATTCCTGGACACAAAAGCCCACGACATTCGAGCCAGGATGCGGTTTCTTCTTCCCTGCGTACTCTAAGTAGCAAAAATCCAAGAGTTTCTCGTCTTCTCCATGTCGTGGCCGGTGTGTCTTAAAGGCGTGCCACTTTATAGCACGATACGAGTACGAGGCTCTAGTTGGCGTTCTATCGGTGGCGTCGCTACCAGATCGCGCAGATTGTTGCGGGAAGGTGAACAACGTTCTGCCGTCCACAAACGCGTCGCCGTGCATATACCGCATGGCTTTCCTGAAATCTTTCGTCTTGACCTTAGCGACTGCTCGCAGGATCTCGTCCACTTTCGTGTCCGTGAGCTGGACACTGGCCTTGAGCAACGTAGACGCGTGTGTGGACTTGTTGGTCGGCTGGAAGTCCAGGAAATTGGCGCGCTGGCAGGAAACGGACGGCTCGTCCTTAGGCTCAAGACTGAGACGAGTTCGCCCCGGGAGACGCGATCTATGGCTACGGTACGCGGATCCGTCGGTACTGCTCCACTTGTACGCACAGTCAGCGTCCTCAATGATGCGGATAAGCTGCGTCACGCGCTCCCTGCCAAGCCGCTTGTAGTACTTTACCTCCTCTCGGCTCAGCGCTATCTGCGGGAAGAAGCCATCATGCAGGGGAAACTCAAGCATAACTGAGTGCGGAATCCGTTGCCTTCAATGCGGAATCGGTGCAGCTGCGTGCAACTTGAAGGCTGAATGGGGTGTGGTAGGTTAGGGTGTTGCCTTTTTCCCCAGTCGAGCTTTTAACGCCGTAGGTGGTCAAAATGTGCGCTGTTGCCTAGATGTATCCTGCGACGGAGGAATCGGAGAGTGAACGGCCGAGTGGCTCGCGTTGGTGCGCGCGAAACGCTGGGGTCCGTACTGAGGGGAAGAGGCGGCTTCCGGTAAGGAGCCATGTCGTGCAATTGTGCCTGCGAGCGAGCTTTGGAAGGCGGGCGATTGGTCGAAAACCGGCCAGAAAGGACGCGGCCGTTGCCAGTGACGATGGGTACAGATGCGATGTTTGCGACAAAGTGTCGAGTTGACTGTCCTGTTCCTCTTGACTCGGATAGAGAGAAGATCATGTGGCTGGCTGTCACGCTGCTCATAATTTGTCGACAGGCAGTTTTTGGTTTGTCGCCTTTAGATGTGACGAGCGCGTTTCCAGAGAAAAATGCAGGCTGGGAAATCTGCTGCTCCGTGAAGGGGTGCGCACGGACGTGAACGATGGGTGATGGCGACTGCAAGATACCCTTCCGCAAGTATACAGCGAGACACCGAGAGGACGCCGCGCTCGTGGCGGCTGTCAGGCTGTGGAAAATGCCGATTATTAGTTTAGTTACTAGCGCTGCGCAATGTAGCGCTGATCGTACTGATCATCACTGCGCAACGTAGCGGTTTTTAACTGCCCCCGAGCAGTCCAGTTTCGGATTTGGTGCTTGGAGCGCAGCGACATACACCTCCTGCTTCTACCAGCTGTTTCACAGCAAGCACCGCTGTGAGTCAGTCGCGGTGGTGATGACAAGCACAACAAGAGGCATGCAAGTGCACTACTGTTGCTGAATACGGAAGCTTATTCATAGGGAAACCTTAGTCCACGACTAACGAATTGAACATTAGGAGAAAATGCACATGTGCATTGGGCGTACAGGCAGTGCGCGATCTCACTGAGAAGCGCCATTATCTTTCGATTCGAAGTCGTTGGCGCCGTACAGTATTGGTCATGCGCTGAGTTCAAGTGACGTTTTAAAGAGACACTTTTAATCCTGTCGCGTTTTCTAAAGTAAATCACAGCGGGATGTCTCGCCATTTTATAAGGGTTAAGCATTCCAATTGAAACTTGAAGTATTAACTCAAGTACAAGCATGACACAAACATTAATAATATTTCTTAAATAGCTGCTTTCGTTTATATTCTTTATCAAGCGGTTAATATCCAACGAGCACAAACCTCACTGTAGTGTTGGCTTCCTCAAGGTCATCATCTTCCATTCCACCGCCCAATGTATCGTGGCAGCGCCACGCGAGACCTTAGTAGCGTTTCATTTGGCATATCTTTTCGACATGCGAGCAGGGATCCTAAATAAATATTTACTGAAAATATGTTTCTTAAGCGTAAGAAAATAACTTGTTTTATGGGCTATCACAATTTATAAATTTATTTATGGATTTTGTGGATTCCTTCACGAAATTTATTGTCCTCTAACATCTTGCGCTAGAGGAAGTTAGCTTCCGAAAGTATACAAACTCTCAGTGGACGGCAGTTCACATGTCCCCTTTTATAGCGAAGTGACCTATTTAAGGTAGAATGTAAACTGAGTGTATTTATAGGTAGATAAAGCTTGTGTTAAATACAAAGTGTAAGTCACCTATAGAAAAGCAATGTCATCAGCCAATGGTTGGCTTTGGACGATCTTGGTACCTTGTACAGTACCAAATATCCCGAAGTATGACATGTCATACTCCATGTAACTAGGGGTACACGAAGGGCTACGTACCTCGTTACATCCTCCCCCACTTAGGTTCGGCTTACCGACCAATCAGAATGAAGAAGTGCTCGTCACAAACTTTCATTCTCAAAGTCGAAAAACATCGACTTTGCCGCGCGAGCGCGGCATAGGCTCACTTCACAGTTAGAGCCTCGAGCAGCTGTCTGTGCGCTCCTCGTCTTGGTCTCCACTTCGACCGTTTGTCATGCCTCGTGGCACTGCGAAGAGCGGTGCGAAGACACGCTCCAAGGCTGCTGGCGGAAAGGCGCAAGCCAAGAGCACTAAGCCTCACGGCAAAGGCTCGGCGCTTCAGGAGGCTACTCAGGTGGCCTCCGAGGCGATCGACTCATCGGGTGACGCGGCTGTGGGCAAGCGACCAAGCAAGCGCCGCAGCCCGTCGCCCTCGGCCACTCCAGACAATCGTCCGAACCCTCGGCTCGCTGAACGTGAGTTCGACTCTGGCAGTGAGGACGAAGCCGACCAGTCTCCTCACGGTCAAGACGCCGTACGTCGCGTGTCGATCTAGATACAACGGTATCAGTTGTCTGCACTGTCACGCTTGGCCATTCTCTCCTTGCCCTTGAGAACATCTTCGATGATCTCTTCGAGCTCGTGAATGTCGGCGACTCGAGCGTGGTAGAGACTCTCCGCCAGCTTGTCATCATCGCATGTTGCCAGGAACTGCTGTACGTGTTCTTTCGCGTCGCGACCACTCTTCTCGAAGTGTAGATGAGCGGTCCGAGCATAGCCATTCAGCCTGTTTATGTAGTCGCACAGATGTTCATTACGTTCCCGCTTGGCGGAGTAGTAACGCGACAGTGCCGTCTGCGTGAAGAGAGAGAGCACGCACGATGCTCCTGTGGGCTCTGCGGATGGGGCACAGCCCAGTGCCCAGCGAGCACAAGGACGGCAGCGTGCGGTCGCTCGCTAGTGATTAAGGTGATCACAGTCCCAGGACGTCTGTGCGCTCTGAGAGTCCGGCCGTCAAGGCTAAGGGCACCCCCAAAGCTGGTGGCGATGAGGAAGAGAAACCTCGCAAACGTCTCTCGCTTGCCGAGGGTCTTGCGCGTGCAATAAGGCCTCTAAAGCCGAAGGCGCCAAGCCCTCTAAGAAACGTATGGCTTCTAAGTCTTCACTTCACGAGAAGAAGAAAACGCGGTACTTCCATCGGGGCCTCTTCGATTCCTCGGATGAAGAGAACGAGAAGAAGGAGGAAGAGGGTGCTATTTCGGAGTCCCGGGAGACCACGAATGACCTCGACCAGCAGCAAGAGGACTTCCAAGCTACCCAGCGTGTGCGCGGGAGTTTGGTGGTGGCCCCCGTCAGCCAGGGAGCTGCCATCAATTCAAGAGGGTATTGGCCTCCCGAGGAGAGCTCTGGGTCTGACCTCTTCCTGGAGCTTCTCGTTGCTCCTCGTGGCCTTGTTGGCGGCCAAACCTCTAGGGGTGTTTACGAGCGTACTCTTGTTCAAAAGGAACAGTTGTTTGCTGACAGCTTGGAGGCGGCTCGGTGTGTGCTTCTCGCGCCACACCATGTCCCTCTTAAGGACTTTACGACTTGTCGCAAGAAGCCCGAGAACCGGGGTGGTCTCTATCCTCTTTGAAGATACCCCTGGGTTCTGCCCGAGAGCTGTCCCACCTGGCGTTCTTGTGAGGACATGTTCTGGGCTTGGGTGGAGTCTCTCATGTACTCACCCACGGATTTACGGGAACTCCATGAAGATCAGCTGCTGTCCCGCATCCTGGACCAGCGTGACCTTCGTGTTCAGTTTGCCCACATGGTCAGCAAGCGCATGCTGCCAAGGGACATCCTGCAGCGCGCGGCTTCTAGCGCTCACGATGAGAGCGGGTACGGAGTGTCGTTAGCGTCCGTATCCCGTTCGGGCAAGAAGCCTCGAACTACTTATAAAGCTGTCGCCGCTTCTGTTCCCAGATTGCGACAGCCTTTGGGCGGTCAATCAGGAGTCGCTCAGTCGGCTCCCACGATTTCTCGGAGTGGGCATAACCCCTCCACTTCATGATGAGCTGTCGCTTAACGCGACGCCGTTGCTCCTGGAGGATCCGCTCCACGTGGAAGTGGACTTCTCCATTCCGGTCAAGCAGGGGCGGAGGAACCCAATACTTTGGGAGCTTCACGACATCCCTATATCAGGCCACCCAGGAATCGATAAAATACGGCAAGCAGTGGCAGAACGTTTTTACTGGATAAATTGGCAGAAGCGAGTGAAAGACTTCGTGGCAACATGCGAATCCTGTCAGCAAATTTAATCCCATACGGGAAAGGCTACAGGACAGCTACACCCGTTAGAAGTCCCAACGGCAAGGTGGTCTTCAATCGGAATCGATTTCATGACGGGTCTGCCGGCGACAGGCGCCGAAAACGACGCGATCATGGTAATCGCGATCGATTGACAAAACGAGCACATTACATCGCGACAACAGGAAGGATCTCGACTAAGGCTCTGGCAAAACTGTTTATCAATCACTATGTGCGCTTACATGGACTACCTATTGATATAACGACAGAACGAGACTCAAAATTTACACCAAAATGCTGGGGTCAGTAGCCAAAGTTATTGGGGACCAAACGCAATCTCGCAACAGCACATCACCAGCGGACCGACGGTAGTAGAGAGGTTTAAGTAGAGAGGACGAACGCAATCCTTGTAACTAATCTCAGACACTACGTGGGTGGGTTCCACAATGACTGGGATGACTACTTGGTGCTGGCGAAGTTTGGCTACAATCGACAGTACCAGGCGGCTATAGACATGTCGCCATTCTATGCTGATATTGGCTACAACTCACGAGTACCCGCCGATCTACAGATTATGAACCTGGAAAACACCTCGGCAGTGACGCTTATACAGACACAGGAACACCTTCTGCGGGAGCTCCAAGCAAAAGCTCGTATCGCGGCAGAAAGAATGAAGCTTCTATATGATCGAGGTCGCCGGGATCAACAATTTCAAGAAGGTGAAATGGTATTGATCTCGACTAAGAACGTCAATGAAGAGGTAGTTGAAGCAGTGAGAATTTTTTTTGCAGCGAAATGGATCGGCCTGTATGAGATAATTAAGGTCCTACACGTTGGAGCATCATATGAGGTCAACCTACCACCGGAATTGAAGATACACTCCGTGTTTCAAACAATGGTACTGAAGAAATTTCGGAAGGATACCACTGCAGTCCAGCGTGATAGTACGACCCCCACCGTCCGGCTCAAAGACGGTTCAGAGGGCCATTTAATCGAGATTATCCTCGACCATCGAATCTCCGGAGACAATGGGGAGCAGTACAAGTGCAAGTGGGTGGGTCGCAATGACGATATCACATGGGAACCAACCGCAAATTTGATGTCAGTACCCGGCCTTATTAGGGAATATCATCGACAAGCAAATGGCCTGCCAATGCGAACATCCAAACGACTACAAGCAAAGCATCCCAGCGCGGCTAATGCAGCCCATGTTGCTCGTCAATATGTGACTAGTATGAAGTTCTGTCCCGCGGAGGTCGTGCCACGGAGCTAAACCGTTCCGTGAAAGCTTAAGCAGTTGCGAAACTACCCGGTAAAAGATATCGAAACGACTTCGCAAAAAGACGGAAACCACTACAGCGACTCTTGGTAGCAAGCGACCCTCGAGAGTCGACGGAGGACAAACTAAAACAAAATACACTTTGAAATATTCCATCTACAACGCAACATCTTTGGGCTTCCAGCCGACGGACACGTAAACACGGGAATTTTGGTGTTCGTGTGTCGGCTGAGCAAGATGGTACATCTTGCTCCGGTTCCGTCACCGTTACAGGCGAACAAACGGCAAGGCTGTTCGTCGATGGCGTGCTCCGCTATCACGGTCTCCTGGAGACGATTGTCTGACCGAGACCCGCGGTTCACGGCTGCGTTTTGGAAAGCGCTGTTTTCTTTACTGGGAACTCGTCTACAGATGTCCCATGCGAACCATCCACAGACAGACGGCCAGAAGGAGCGCGTCAATCAAGTACTCGAGGACACTCTGGGCAGTGTGTGCGCGACAGCACCACGTCCGTAGTCGACGCAGCTCCCAGTTGTTGAGTTTGCGCTCAACAACGCGGTGCACGCATCCACAGGGTTCACGCCGCTCTACTTGAACGGCTTCCGTCACCCTAGAGTGCCTCTCACGCTTCGAGGAGATACTGACACCTCTATTCTAAGTGGGGGAGAGGCTCGAAAAGCCCTTTCCTCCCAGGTCTCGGATGTGAGACCAGTTTCGCTGCAGAAATAAGTGGACTCCATTATGGATACCGTTGACAGTAGGGTCCGCGATGCCATGGCAGCAGCCCAGGATAAACAAAAGGAGTATTCAGACAAACATGGAAGAGAAAACTATAAGTGCATTTAAAATGGGGGACTTAGTGACATATGACAATAGGAACCTTCCCCTTGACACTGTCAGCTCTGTCGGCAGCAACAAGCTGAAGCACCGCTTCATCGGACAATTTGCAGACCTGGACAGACATGGTG